ATACACTGGAGCTGGAGGGTTCAAACCCAGCCTGGGCCTGCCCAACAACAATGACAACTACAACCAAAAAATAGCCGGGCATGATGGCAGACACCTGTAGTCCCAGCTACTTGGGAGTCTGAGGCAAGAGAATCACTTAAGCCTAAGAGTTTGAGGTTGCTGACGCCACAACATTCTACTGAGGGAAACACAGTGAGACTCTGTCTCAAAAAAAAGAAAGAAAAGAAAAGAAAAATTGCTATATTTCATAAAGTGGGTTTTATACAAGAAGCCTGGAGACAAAATATGTTTTATCCCAAATGTATGAATAATCCGTAATAAAAGATCATTAAATTGGGCCATGCCTGTAGCTCAAAGGAGAAGGGCACTGGCCCCATATACCGGAAGTGGTGGGTTCAAACCCAGCCCCAGCCAAAAACTGCCCAAAAAATAAATAAATAATTAAATATAGTTCAAAGATAACACATTTCCAGGTAAAGGTGAATAAATTAAATATGTATTTATAAAAAATAACAATCTTCAAAAGAAAATTTTAAAAAAGTAAAATTCTCAATTTTTAATGTTTTAGCTAATTCTGAAGCAATTAAGCTCACAACGAAGAAAATATTTTCATCTAACTCAACCCATCATCACTCTGACTCCTGAAATTTCATTTATAATCATGACAGTTGTGTGATGCACTATGTCCAAACATTAATACTAGATTTTTTTTTAAATAGAGATAGGGAAGTCTGAATACACAAATTAATTTCACAAATAATATATTTCATATTTCAAAATAATATTGGCTCCCACATTATTGTGTTATTCAATATGTTTAACTCAAGCATAAAGTCATTCTAGCAGTAGCTTAAGTTTGGTTACTGAAGAAAAACCTCTTTGCATGCAGTGACCTATTAAAGTGTCTTCAGCATTACAAGTTTCCCCTTATTGCCTATAAGTTAATGAACAAATATATACCAATATCTCAGAAAAAATCCTTAATTAATAACTTCAATATATTAATCATAAGGAAATTTGTGGCAAATAAGAAATGTACATTACTGGTGTTATATGCAAACCAACACTAATGTAATGTTTTTAAATGTGGCTGTTGCTATAGTTGAACTATATAACTTTTTTAAAGTTCAATGAGTTTCAATGATAGGACAAAATTTGGTAAAATAAGGCAATAAATTATTATAGGCCTGAGTACAACATGTAGTATACCCTGTGTATGCACCTGAAAATGTTCAAACTTGCCTAACACACAGAGACTAAGTTCAGCTGGGATTGTGTATAAGGGGTAGCGTGAGCCCTAAACAAGGAACTGGATGACCCACAGTGGCAGAGACTTTTTGATTTTAAGTACCATTTACTGTTAAAAAAAAAAAAAAAGCACTTCTTTGAAAAATGGTCATTTACACTATGTGTAAGACAGGAAGTGTGCAAGTTAAAACCAGAATATATTATCAAACCAGAAAGAAAATGGAAGAAACTGTAGATTAAGAGACAGAAGAGACCGGGAAGAATTTCAACTGATTTCAGTATGTTAATCTTATTTTCATTTTTATTCAAAATAAATGAATGATTAATAACAATTTTTAAAGAAATAAAAAGTAAACTGTGTAAAAAGTGGAAGAGATGCTTTTATGGGCTGAATTGTGTCCTGTCAACATTTGTATGCTAAAGTCCTAACCCACGGCACTTCAGAATGTGAGTGTTTTTAGACATAGAGTCTTCAAAGGGGTGATGAAGTTAAAATGAGGTCATTAGGGTAGGCGCCAATCCAATCTGACTTGATAAAAGGAGGGAATTTGGACAGACAAAAGAGACACCAGGGGTGTGTGTACACAGATGGATAACCATTTAAAGAGGAAGAAGGAGGGTGGCCATCCACAAGTCATGAGGAGAGGCCTCAAGAGAAGCCAAAACTGTGAGAAAATAAATACCACCCAATCGGTGCTATTTTGTTACGGCAGCCCTAGCCAAACTAATGCAGATGCTAAAACGATGAATATGTCCATCATTCACTTAAACTTGAAAAATTCACATGGGGGATATAGAAGTGAATGTACTGTGGATCCTGGAGCAATAATTCTCAGACAATGAGATGAAGACCGTCAAACCTCCTGTAGAAAATGTGGGTCATATATAATTTGAAAAAGCCTCAAAAATGATTCATTTTTTTTCTCTTCCCACTTAGAAACACTATCTTAGACCCACCATGTATCAATGAGGGCAAGGCTATATCACTACTTCTCTTGGCCACTCAGGTTATTCTATTCACATTTTTTATAGTGAAGTTATATACACTTTCACCAAATAGAATAGAAACCTCATCACAAGTGATCTGCACTTAATATTGGGACTGAGGCTACTCATTCCCTTTCATTTTCCTTCAAAATTTTATGTCAATTTACCATTCACATTGGAGTTTATAAGGATAGGGAAGAGAATTGTTTTTCTTTCATAAATAAAGAATAATAAGATGGGGGAAAGCCAATGAGCATAATAAAGGAGAATCTTCCATGAGATTCCTTCTTCTCACTTACAAATTCTCCATCCTGTTGAAAGACATGGATGTGACAATTCCAAGTTTCAGCTGTCTACTATTTTCTCACCCACTTCATCTCTTACATATGTTTAAAGCATTAACAACAGGTTGTGCTTCATCCTAAAGACAGTTGGGTTTCAGACAGAAGTAAAAAATGTTTCATTATCTCACTCTATTGTCCAAGACAAATGTGCTATTGTATTACGTGTACGATGTCTTCTTTGAAGTCTATTAAGGATGTGCTGTGAAGTAAGCCATCTGGAAAAAACAGTATGGACTGAAAAATAATTGCACCCCAGATTATTGCTTTTCCCCTCTGTTAAGCCTACGGTGAGAGCTGATGAAAATACTATGCAGTATAAAGAGTAGAGGCTCTGAAGCCACACAGTTTACACACCCCCTACTAACAATGGCTAGCTGATGTACAAGTTACTTTTCTGTCTTTTTATCTTGTCTGTAAAATTGAGATACTAATGCATGCTGCATAGATTATGAGGGTTAAATTAGTTATAAAGCACTCCAGACAGAGGAGGCAATAAGTTTGATTTACCTGCTCTTAAACATAGAGAATATATAATATTCTTCATAGAGAGAATATTAGATAAAATACAATAAGATTTGAAAGCTAGGTTGAGCAGGCTGATTTTGCAAAAAGTCCATTGAACTTCGATGGGTTCTTTTTTATTTCAGGAGAGAAAAAGACTTTGGAAGACCAAGTTTTAAGCTTATTTCAGAATTCTCCATCTGAAGCAGGTTGGGACCACCCAGACAGGCCTGTTGAGGAAGCGCTGTCCGTGGTGCTACTAAGCGCACCCGCCTCTGTGCGCAAAGTTCTTCTCCAGTCAGCTTGCTCAGAGAAGCTCACATATCTGCCTGGTGGAAGTTTCTCAGACATTAGGTTAATCTGCTTTTTCTCTATCTTATCACTCTTTATCTATGCCCCCTTCAAAGAAAAACAATTCTCTTCCATTTCATTATCAAATCCAAACAGTTTTTATTTTTCAGACATGTTGGCCATACCTACCACCTAAGAAAGTGACTCCAAAATTGGATCAGAGTGTCTTTTCCAAACTTTTTGTTGAGACAGAGTGTTACTCTGCTGCTTAGGCTAGAGTACTGTGGTGTCATTATAGCTTACGGCAACCTAAATTCCTGGGCTCATAATATCCTCCTGCTTCAGCTTCTTAAGTACCCGGGACTATAGGTGTTTGCAGGATCGGTGTCCAGCTTATTGCTCTAACAATAGGTCTGACTATTGTTAGATAGTTAGAAATTTTTTTGTAACAATAAGGTGTAACTATTGCTGAGGCTGGTCTCTTTCCTCTTCAGCCTCCCAAAGTGCTAGAGTTACCCATATGAGCCACCACACCTGGCCACTTCTCCTAAACTTTTTAGTCAGTTTCAGAGAAACCCAAAGCTCAAAACAAGAACATGGGAAACAGTTCATTTCTGCTACATCCTTTTAAAACTCTCTCCAGCTGGCACCTTCTCTAAGAAACTTTCCCTGTACCTCTACCCTGAGTTAAGTCCCTCTCTTCCTTACTCCCAAAGAATCCTGTAAATATACTTCTCAGTAAAGTATACATAGTATAAAACTGACACTCTATTTTTTGGTTTTGAATGCCTACCACCTAAGAAAGTGGTGAGAATTTCTTCAAAGTGACAGCCCATGTCTTACTCAACTGTGGTGAGAATTAGAGAATTTCTTCAAAGTGACAGCCCATGTCTTACTCAACTGTGAATTCCCAGAATAAAAAACATGCTGAATTAAGTTTTGTTAAATTGAACTAAATTTAATTACTGGATCCATGAGGGAGAAGATCCCAATAATACTCCTTAAAAGGCAACCATCCTTCTTGCATCTGACATATTTCAGAGCAGCTAGGCTCTTCTGGTGAGGATATTCTGGACTGAGTCCATTTGCCACCACTTCCACCAATATCAGTCTGATGAATCAGCCTCTTGAGGTAACTAGTAAGAAACCAATGTCACTTATTTCAAAGGCTCCTGCTTTCCACTGCCCATTTTCCTCCTCCCACTTTACAGACACACCTGTAATCCCCCACACACTGTGCATAGGAACTGATTCACTAGATGACCCAGAAGCAGACTTCTAAGCATATTCTTCTGGACGACCTAAGAACAAAGTAACCATCAACAAATTTTTACCAAAAGCCTTTTTTCCAGAAAAATGTGGAAGTTCATGTAAGAGTGAATTAATAAACTGAAAACTGAGAAAGGGGGATGAGAAGGGAAAGAAAGAGAACTTGCTATTAACACTGTCTCCTTTTCTTCTCTGTCCAACTGGGTTTTAGCCCTCCTGAGGCTCAGCCAGTGTATCTTTGGTCTTAACCATCACTTTCGTGGGCTCTCAGTCCTTGCATTGTTTTCATTTTACAGGGATTTAGGGGAAGGGGAGTTAGAGCAAAAGTATGCTTTAAAAAAAACATGTGGAGTCCCTTACCTTTGAATAATTAAGCAATTGGCCTTTTAGGACTTTGTCTTCTTCAGCACTCTGAACCAAAATGATTCTGTAAATAAAAACTGTTCAGTGTTAGGACAGGTTCACTCTCATGGAGGTCCTCCCCAAAGGTTTTAGGCAACAGATACCTGACTTGTGGTTCTCTTTCTATTCAATCAGCTGTAAGTTTTTAAACCCTTGAAGCACTAAATATGTTGATTCGAACTCAGGTAGGAAGATCAGGAAGGAAAAAAAAATGACTTGGCCTTCAAACCTTCAGAAGAGGATTTAATGACAGGTTCAGCCTGTTTAATGACAAGCCCAGTACCACACCTCTGTTTTATTATGTTTCTTTATTGTTGCATAACTTTCCTTTATTACTCATGATAAACAAAAATCAAATACTTGCCAAGTTAGTTTTAAATAGGTAAGAGTGCAAACAAAGATATACTGTACAAATACGAAAGTGGGATCTCAGATTGTTAAAACATATAATTCTTGTCTTCTATGTGCCAGATCTTTACTCTCAAATCTCTTTTGTTTTGTTTTAGGATTGTATCCATAATTCAAAGATTTAAAAAAGAAGAATTAAAAGTCACATGTAAAACAGGCTTCTCGGGATCTTTCAGTATTTTCATGGTTGATCCAAATAAGAAGACACACCCAAAAGAAAATTGCTTAGGTTGATACAAGATGTGGAAAGTTGGGGAGTTCGAGCGCTGCTCGGGATGAATTTTACTCGCCTAACAGATGCAGAGTGGACTCATTTCAGACACGGAATTATTTTCAGTGCCTTTCTCTCAGCGACTAACGTCTTCAGAGTGAAACCAGCGGGCCGCCGCTCTGCCTGCTGGGACTTCCAAATCTAAGCCTTGGCTTTACCACACGCCCAGCGGACAGCGCAGCAGTCGTGCCAAGAGGGGCGTCCTGGGTATCACGCATGCGTCCTACCACCTCTGGGCGGGCTCGCCCGCCCAGCTCGCCCGAGTGGCCTGTGACGTAATCTGCCGGCTGTGGGCGGGGCCTTCCGGCTAGTTAGCCTGGACGTGCTCCCGGTAACAGGAGGCGGAGCCTGAGAGGGCGGTGAGAGGCCGGGTCCCCGGCAATCTGAAAACGGAATTCTTACCCAGCTCACTCTGCACTCTGCCAGAGTCAGGTCCGGCAGTGAGGACGTTGCGACGCGTCTGCACTCTATGGCTAGAGGGGCTTTGAGCTTGGCTGCGGCAGCGCGAGACTTTTTTCTCCTGTTTTTTCCCACGAGAAAGCCAGTCGAATCCTCTGCTTCTCAGGAGATAGGAAAATCCTGGAGCTAACCACGGGCAGCTCGGCCATTACCCTGACCCCAAAGCGCAGAAGGACGGCGAGAAGGGACTGAAGCTGAGCTGAGGTCCCCTAGAGACCGGAGTGTGCGCCGGAGCGGGGTGGGAAAGGAGGGAGGAGGGTCACGGAGTTTACAGTCAGCAGTGGATTATCCCGGCCCCTCAGTGCCTGGGGGCCACGGAATGCGCGAGGAGAACAAGGGTATGTTCAGTGGTGGTGGCAGCGATGCGGGCCTGGCCAACGCCGCGGCGCGGGGGCAAGTGGAGAAGGTGCAGCAGCTCCTGGAAGCGGGCGCGGATCCCAACGGAATCAACCGCTTCGGAAGAAGGGCGATCCAGGTAACCGGGGTCCGACCGGCAGGGGGCGCACGACCGCGGGGCACGGCCTCCCAGCCTCGGGGCTGGGACGAATGTCACCGGCTTAACTTCGGCAGCGTCTCTCGGGCTTGGAGCCCAGGCGTAAAACACGTTTATACTTAGAAAAAATTTTAAAGTGTGCTTCAGTTTGGTTTTCTTTTAATGGTAGGAAAATACATTTTTTTGGCCATCTCAAGATTGGAGATTTAAATAATATTCAATTAGAGAGGAAAGGGGAAAAGGCAAGCTTATTTGGGGAGAACTATTTTGTCTACTTTCAGCGATAAAGTAAATTAAAATGTACACAACGCGAAGTGGATTTAAGGTAGTTCCTCTACAAACTCAAAGTACAATGAAAATACTTCAAGGTGAACTTTGAAGCCTCTGTATGGAATTTTTTGTATTCTTTCCTACTAGAGGCGAATTGAGTTCAAAGGTATGAGACTGGATTTCTCCACCACAGTACTTAATTCCTTTTATGTTAGCAGTGTCTCTGGAGTGATGCATAAGATTTTTGTTAAGGCTTCTATAGTTTATTATCATACTCAATGCTTGAATTAAAAATATCTGCAGAAACTTATCTTTAAATGGAAAAGGATCTTCATAATGTTTCCTCTTTAAAGTATTTAAGTATTTCTTAATCCTTTAAAATCTAAGATAATGCCTTTGTACTTTACTATTATGGTCATATTCAGTATTCATCTCATTATCACCCTCTATAACTAAGCTAATATTTGAAAATCTTGTTAATGGTGTAGTTTTTAAGAAAATAAATGTTAATTCCTCTTGAATTCTTACAAAAGTGGTGTAACAAAGAAGGGATATTTGAAAGCAGCAAAAACGTAATATTGATACTCACAAAATTCTATTAGTAATTACAAAAACAAGTTTTCTCATAATTTTGATTCACCATTTTCTGAAATAATAAGGACCACTTTTTTTTTCTTTTTTTAGTGTAAAATACCCTTTACATCACTAGTAGAAATAACTTATGGTTATCGTGATTTTTAAGGGAAGAAATGAGTATTTCCATTTCTGCTGTTTTCATGAAACAAGCAAACAAGAAAACTAGAGGTATACTGCCTTTAAATTACATGGTACATTTTAAAGCACATAAACCCACAAGAACAAAGTAACTCCATGTCGAACATTTAGTTCAATCAAAATTTGTTATATTGTTAACCAAAAGCGAAGTATCAAAGCAAATGCTTGCATGATGGCACATGTAACAAATGGCTGCTATAAGATTACTCTTTTAAAACATTGTTTTTCTAAAGTTAAGCACCATTCTAATTTGACTGTTAATATCTAAACACTCTATATAGCAAAATATTTGCTATTTAACATAAAATCTTAGTGATTGTAAAATCCTGTACAATGTGAACATAGTGTTAATTTTACACGTTACATTATATGTAATATTAGCATAACAGGTAAAATTAAATGTTTTAGTATGACATTAACTTAAAATAGTAAAATGGCCTATGATTTATAACAAATCATTTGTTTTCATCATTTTGTGAAGTCATTACATGTGACTTAGTTTCCTTTTACCCTTCTGATCTCCATCTTTGCCTCAAATCATCAGACTATCGTCTGAGCACAGACACATACAATAATAACAAAAGCCTTCCGCAGATTTGCTCTGAGAACAAAGAAAACCTTTTTAGGAAACTTTTGTTTCTTATTTTCTCCCTAAAGCATACCCCTGACTTCTTTTTTAGAAAAATCAGTTGATTAATATTTTTTAATCTGGATTATGGCAGGGGAAGGAGCAGGGAAAAAATAACAACTATAAAAGCCACTTAAACGTCACTCTGCTCCATAAATCATTTAACAAACTAGATTCCAGTGTTTCCATGGAAATCGAGAACTTCTACAAGGACAATAATCACTGTGCCATCAGCTGGCTCTTCTCTCTGCATATTTGAAAATAAATGAAATTTTAATTTGTGTTGGGTAAAGAACAGGGACAGGGGGTAATCAGCAAAGGAAGAGAAACCAGCAGCCAGATGCTTGTGCCCTCTACATTGGGTGAATATGTCACAAATAGGTATCTAAAATGTCTACCTGCTGCGCCCCAACCGGCTGGCTTCACACTGCCTCCACGCCTCACCCCGACCACTCTACTCTCTCCGCAGGTCATGATGATGGGCAGCGTCCCAGTGGCGGAACTGCTGCTGCTCCACGGTGCAGAGCCCAACTGCGCAGACCCCACCACTCTCACCCGACCTGTGCATGATGCGGCCCGGGAGGGCTTCTTGGACACGCTGGTGGTGCTGCACCGGGCGGGAGCGCGTCTGGATGTGCGCGATGCCTGGGGCCGCCTGCCGGTGGACCTGGCTGAGGAACGAGGCCACTTCGATGTCGTACGGTACCTGCGGATGGCCGCAGGAGACTGAAAGAGGGTTCGCTCAGCCGCCCACCATGCTTATTTTCTCCCCAGTTCCCCATCCTCACCTACTACAATGAAGGCAGCAAACGTGGAACGGCTGGAAAGCTTGCTGAACACCCAGAGCAACTCCACTCTCCGGAGGAAGGAGGAGCCAACTGGGAGTGAGTTTATAGACGTTTTTTCTTAATCTGGATCTAGCTCTTTGCATTCACAGTGAAGCCAAACACAAAGAGGTGGATCTCCTACAATGTTAAGGAGTGTGTGAAGTTCCGGGTGTAGTTCACTCTTGAGAGTTTTCGGATAGACAATGCTGGGGTGGCTGAGTAGGAGGAGCGGGTGACCCATACGTTCTCCCTACTGACTGCAGAGCAGCTCCGGGTAAATCCAGGCTTCGGTATTAAGTCCCGGACCAAAGAGGGAAAACCTGAAGGCTGAGACTCGGATGGATAAAGGTCGTGGTGGGCTTCAGTAGGTGCCTAATGCTTTACTCTAGCTGTGGAGTGCTCCGCAAACTACCTGCAAAATGATAGTCTCTGGAAGCCCTACGGGCTCACGCTCACCTTCACCAGATAGCAGAGTGGGCGCAGAGCATGCGGAAGTTACGGAAGATCTGCCTCATGTCCTAAAATCCCTTATCATGACACTGCACAGCAGATCTGGAAGATGCAGGCTTTGGCTCTTCTTCCACTGAGAGGAGATGCCCCCCATGTTCTGGATGGCACCAGAGTCAGAACAGCGCACAGGACGAGTGCATTGCAGTGAGAGCAATTGTAACGTTGACTGTAACATTTTGCTTAATCTATTACCAATAAGATACAGAAATCCCCCTATGAATTACTACTTGAAAAGACTTCAAGATACTTTGTACTTTTGAGTTGTTCTTCAGTAACAGTCTTAGTTAATGCGACTTAAAGACTTTAAATAACAAAGTAACTCGTGTCCTTTCTGTAAAGAGATGAGGAAGAACTACAGCTTCTTAAGGAAAGCTATGACA